CATCCTCATTACCGGATGATGGTACATTAGCCAATGGCCGAGAGACGGTATTATGGGTGGAATCGCTTTACCGACATCGATTTAGTTTCAAGGCAGTTCGGATAACGATTTGCCCGAAGAGGCGTCATTGTCTCATGACGGTTGACAAAAAAAAAACCAAAAGAAATAGAAAATGTGAGAATATGAAGACCAACTCATGGAGATTGTCACTGGTATTTAGGTTTAGAAAATATTGTCAAGCTATCTGCCCATGCGACTTACACACTATCTTTCAGATTTCTGTCTCATTGTTCATTACTGTCGCTAAGGTGCTAGATCAATGAATATAAAATTTCCCCTGTTATTTTCGAGCTGGAACAAGGTCCGAGACCTGTTAGGATTTATCCTGGACTGTATAAATTACTGCATCAATGAATGCGGGGCCGTACGATACGGCTATCTCGCAAGTCAAGGAACATCACTCCCATCTGAAATGCCGTGGAGGTGAAACATCGCTGCAATATAGGCATGGTTTGATCCTTAGTGTGCATTAAGTCATTAAGTCTATCATATTTGCATAATATACTGCTATAATTAACTAGTCATCTCGCAGACCTGCAAGATGCTAATGTGGAGGTTGAAAAATATTGTTCTATGTATGCCATATGACAGGGAGCTATAGTGTACTTGTCTATCGGAAATACTTGTGAGCTCTTTGAAAATACCGGTTGAGACAAAAAAAAAACGCGCCGTTCTTTGAGATTCATTGAAGTTCCTGAGATAGAAGATAGCACGACAATTTTTTTTTGTTGCAACGACTTCCACTTGTCCTTGAAACGTCCTAAAATTCTTGTTCTTTTTCCTCCAGCCGTTTTAGCACAGGAGCGAAAACGCAAAGGTGAGTCGAGTTTTATTTTTGCGCGAGGGAACATATCAGCGGAAGAGTAGTTGGTAGGCGTGGAGTGCACAAGTCTCGGGCTAGAGCTTCTCCATCTCCCCGTGAAAATGCTGCTCTCTGCGAAAGGATGGAGTGGGCAGAATTTTGCAAGAATTTTAAGGTAAAGGATTAAAGAAATGTAGATAGTAAGAGATTGATTCACAAGCTGCAAGGAACCGGTTTATCTGAGAGGAAGCAAAGCAGCGAAATACTAAAATTAGCCGGAACTGAAGGAAACTGCGTTCATGTGGAAGAAGTCCTTGTTCCTCCAGATGATAATCCTGGGATGCAAAATTATAATATGAAAATTGACAGACGTAAGGACGAGTCAGAGATGTGCTTAGAGAGTTCTGAAGTGCAGAGGAAAAAATCCTTAGAATAAAAGTCATTCCTTATGAGTGGCACTGGTCCTCCCATCAGCGTCCAGGTGCGAGTGCAAAAATAAAATTCCAGTTGCTTTTGTAAAATCACTCTTGTGCCAAAACGGCTGGAGATAACAAGCCAAAAAATTTCAGATTCTCAAAGGATGCGTAGAGGTGTTTATGAAAGTAATTTCATAGTTCTAGCTGCTGTTTCAGAGGTGCCACAAAATTTCAAAGAGCGGTGCGGTTTTTTTGGCTCACTCGGTATATTGGTATCTAGTAACATCATGTAGACGATTCTACGGAAAATATTGCAAGGCTCTGCCCTTGATTTAGGTGTGCGTTGAGATTATGCCTGGCCAGTACCAGGTTAAGCACAAAATAAAATCAGAACACAGTTTTAGTCTATCCCAATCAAGCGCCTTAATACTTAGGTGAATTTCCTGGAGGGGAGTGTCCTTTCCTTGCCCCCCCCCCCCCCTCCATCTCCGTACTCTCTGGAAGATTTAGACTTGATCTAGAAGAGTGGTGTTCTGCTATCTGTACCAGGTTACTAGACTAAGAATGCGATCGTACCAGCCCAGTAACAACTGTAGAGGGAATTTGAAGTAGTCGAGCGCTTTTATGCGAAAACACCATGAAGTTGTAAACAATCCGCAGCTCAACAGAGCTAAATTTTTCCCTTATTGATATTTGCAATTTTTATTCATTTCCGTCCAAGTATCAACAACGTATAAATGATAATTACTAACGCTCTTCTGGTGCATAAATCGGCCCAACGAGCCGCAGCCTAATGGGCGGAGAGCCTTTCCAGTGCCTTATTCCAATCGTTGAAACCGTCGCTTGTGAATGCACTCGTTTGTTTGGAAACGTGAGGAGGCTTTTCTCAACGCTTGCTCTCGCAAATTGAACATACCTCCTTTCCAATGGAGTTTTCGAATCATGGCCAAGAATAACGCTCCTACCACTTCGGTCGGACTAACAATAAATGTTTCATGAATTGTCGTGGGGGCTGAGCCCCTTCACGCAATATTTTTATTTTTATTTATTTATTTATATATATATTTTTTTTTGAGGGGGGGGGGGGATCGCCGCCTGCGCACGAAGCGCTTGGTGTTCTTGTAAGTGCGAAATCTTCCGTACCGTAGGAGCCAGTACAAGCGCCGCGCTCGACTCTCCCCCGTTTTTAATTCCGGCTCCCTGACACCAGAGGTCTCCGGGCCCTGTGAGATCAGCCAGTCCCAGTCGCTCGGAGTCCTGCCAAGCAGAGCGGGAGCAGGCAACGCACGAGGAGGAGAGGAAGGCTAGTACGCCTGCACGAACCTGTCAGCTTCCGTTTCCAACCAAACGGAAGCCGTTAGCGATAAGCGGAGTCCGTCGAAAGCTAGGGCGGAACTCCCATCGGAGTGAAACACCCTGCCGAGTGAAGAATGGAAGGAGGAAGAAAGTGGGATATCAAACTTTACCTTAACTTTATCCTATGCAGTATTATGTGGAAATTGTATGGTATTCAACTTTTTTGCTGTCTATGGTAGGGGAAAAGTGACTGTTCGTAAGGAAACTAAACGTGCTGTACTTTGTGGTCACGAACATCATTTATTCGCATGACAAGAGTGGCGATAATATCCCAGATCATCTTCACACATGGCGCATGCGACAGTATACAATACTAGTATACCCCATAAACCAGTGTGTATTTCTGTTGCATACTCATTCGCAATGCTCGTGCCATTCACCGTTCCACACGATGTCCAGCTCTTTCAATGCACATTAAAAACATGGGTAGGACATCTTCATCGCATTCTTTTGGTAATGTATCATGTGAGAGCATCCCAATGACATCTACAATGTGTTGGTGAAAATTGCCACATTTGAAGATTTAGATGCATATACAACTGATTTCGCAAACCCTCAAAAGAAATCAAGGAATCAAGACCTACCTAGAAATCAAGTGGCGTCAGGTACGGTACGGTGAACGTACGAGACATGATACGATACCAGCACGGCCGATCCATCGTTAAGGGAATGTATCGTCGTGAAAATGGCATTACGAAGGCAAAATGTGGTGGTTCGCCGTCCTGCTGAAGAGAGGCATTTTTCATCGAGTAGACCCCTTTGCAGCATCGTCACGTCATCTTCGTTTATGATCGCGTTCTTAAGAAAGAACGGTCAAACGGCATCACCATATATAGCGCAGTAAACGTTGGCTTTTAGTTGATCACGTTCACGTCGTGTTCGAAGTGGAACTTTGCGAACCGATGCTGAGCGTTCTGCATCTTTAGCTTGTTTTATTGATCCTGTCTCAGCATTTTTTTGCGAATTCGCTTGGAGGCGATTTGTTAGAGGTTTCTAGAATCAGCGCTGCACTTCCGCTACTGAATCATCAAAATCCGTGAAAGCTGCTCCATTCTGTCTGTAATTCAGTCTACGTCTTGCTGTTCAGATCTACCAGTCACACTGGAACAAGAGCCAATGGCGACGTGCAAATGGGTACATAAATATGGCCCACCTTGTCCAGTCTGAATGGCTTTCTGCTCTACTTAGAGATTGTGGCTGGACGGAAAAGATACCCTCTGCTGTTTTCGACGTTGTCAGTCTTCGGTTCCCTTTTCTGGCTCGTATGAGTCCAGCAATGACATGACCTGGACTGGATAGTGGACTGCAGATTCGAGATTCCTCTTTAACTCCGTATTCGTTGGCAGATCAGCCCTGTGCTGTTCTGTTAATTTCAATATTCCATTCCTAAACGAAATGTTTCAATGCTTCGTACCACCTGAGCATTGAAGTACCTGAGATATATCATGGTTGTGGTGTAGTATTGTCTCCGATAGCCTTATGCAGGAGACGGGATTGGGGGAGGGGGAGACACGGGAATAAAGGAAACGGACGGGATCTAAAGTTCCACAGGAAAAATGAAAATCAAATCCTCGTTTTATCGCGAATAGGATCAAGTAAAGGCTGAAGTGACCCGGTATAGGCCTGAAATTCACTGGACTAATTATTTGTGTTGAGAGAATGGGGTGTACCTAGCATTTTCGTAGGCGCGCCTGCAGGGAATATGGATGGGCAATTTTTTCAGTCAAGAAGGAGGTGAGGAAATGTATACGCAAGCTTGTTCATCGCGGCTCGCATGGGCTTGCTCATTGAGAAAATGATGACACGTCTGCCGGTCGCTTATCAGGTGAAAGCCGGAATCTTGCCAGCGCATGTCGAAAATCCGCCAGGAATGTCGGTATGAGTGTAAATGAATGCGAGCGCAGCTACTCAGCCGGCTAATAGAGGGCAAGCTTGTATTCGCGCTCGACTCTCTGATTTGTCAGACAGTCCATGACGTCATCAGGGATTCCCCGCTATACTCTATTCTCATTGGTTCCTTCTCCTGCAATGAAGTTATCCTCCGAATCGTCTGCTCGCTCCCACGTGGTTGGCTTCCGCTTCTCCTCTCCATTTCTCTCCCATGGAGAATGTAATGAATACATACAACACATACAAAGAGATAGGGAAAGAGGGAGAGAGAGAGAGAGAGAGCGCGCGCGAGAGAGCGCGAGAGCGAAATGACCATAAAACGGACTGCATGCGGTTGACGGCCGTCAGTGTTCGCCGGGTGCCGGCCCCACGTGAGTAGCGAGACAGAGAAAGAGAGGAACGAGTGAGTCATCTCGAGGGGAAGGCACTTACGCACTGCTCTCTTACTTCAGTTACTCGCTAGAAGTCAGTGTGACCAGGTCAGGAATCACGTGGTCTCAGATAACTATGGCACTCCTTAGTGGGAACTGTGAACATGGTGATTCACACCAAGACGAGAGTGTCTCGTATTATCCTCAGCTTCTTCCATCAGAAGCTCGGAAGCAGCGGGTCGTACGTGAGAGACACAAGGCTTCCTTTATCAAATCTTGGCTTCCTGAACTCCGTGCCAGTAAGTTTGCGAATCAATAACTAGCTTTTACTTGTCTCCAGCTAGCCCTAGATTTGATTATCTGTCAATAATGTTAATGTTAGAATGTTCCTTATGATGACATTAAACATTTAGAGAAGTTCAAGATAGTGAAGCATCACTGGTAATTGCCGCTCAGACTTAACTCCCATCATATTATTCCGTACCGTTAATGCTATAGGGCCATGTCACAGGAGTTTTCTTTATTTGATAGGCGCGCTTCTCTCACCGTTCGCTCTTGCAAATAAAGAATCCCTTTGGTGTAAGCTATGCCAATGCACCAACAATGGGAAGGAACATGTGCATACTGATGACTAGTTGGAAGATAATGCTTCTTTTAAATTGCAACTCACGATACGTTTTCTTGAGAATTAACCATTGAAGCATTTTCGTTGGGTCGCTTTCCGGGGACAACTCCCTTCCTTGAATTCGTGCCCGTAAAATATCTGAAGTTGAGTATATGAATCCCCGGCTACTCACCGGCACGAGAATAGGTCGAAAGTAATTTTTAGTAAGTATCTTAATCTTGTCTCGACCTTTGCAAAATAGAAGATTCGTTGGAAATTGAGATTATTTACGCATCGATGCTTGATTTCAAGTGTCATCTGATTAGGTGTAAGATGCTTGGAATGTTGTTCATTGAATGTCATCACGTATCTTGGGAGTGTGAGATTCCCATTGCAAGTCCACTGAGACTCAGTTACACCACGGTCTGGAGTATCCTTTCACGGATCTAGGCTTCTCCCTCGTGCCGACATGAACACGTCGAAACACGTTCCGTCCGTGAAATAATGGTGCAACTGCTAGCAAGGTAGGGACGCCCTGAGGGGGCGGGCATTCCCAAACTTTACTTGATGAGACACGTTTTCTCGTCAATAGGCCACCTTCCACATTCAACAAATGCGCACGTTCACATCCCCTTACCAGGTTACTTTACCACTCTTCCTTTTATTTGTAGCCATCAATAAAAGTTTATTTTATTTGGTCTCGTGAACGGACGTCGTGAGATCGTATCTAATCCAATGCTCAATATTTCGACTCCAGTCCTGGTGCTCAGCTGACTGCTCCATTATCACTAGAGGGCATGAGACAGAAAAAGCTTCTACGAACGGGAGCATAGCAATGTCGACAGCCTCGATCATATGACATTATGTAGACTTTTCGGGGAAGTCTCAAATGTCATCTTAGTGATCTTTTTCAGGGACGTAGGCATCCGATAAAAAGTGTTTGTAAAAGTCAACCGTTTCCTGCATCGGGGACAGTGCATATCGATTCTACTCGGGGTTTGAGCCATGTGGCCACTGGTCATAGTGGAAAGAGACGGAGTACACGATGATTTCCTCGTAATGTTTTTCCCTATTCGCCCGATTCCAAGGAAGAAGCCGGCACTGTGGAGAGGAGGGCGAGAACGCGCCTATACAGTACGAGGAAGTGTATGCAGTTCGTGCAGGGGTAGTAGACCTAATCGATGGAGATGCAGGAAGCTCGATGGCTTTGCTTGTACCTCATAGGTCGAGCCCTATCATGGTCACAGGCCTACACCTGTGGTACCTCGTACGCCACGTTAGTGATAGTTTGTGTGAGAGTGTGAGAGAAGAAAACAGATAATCCTCTGGCACTAGTATAATTTCCCCCCTCGAACTGTACTAATAAAAGGTGATTGGGGTGCAAGCGGACGTGGTCTCCCCCGCCGCCAGGTGAGGCGCCAATGACTCATCCATTCCTGTGATTCATTCACTATATTCGAGCAAAGCACAAATGATTCACTTCATAGTAGCACCGTAAATTCCTCTCCTCACGCAATCGCATTTGCGTGATCGTAATTATCTTTATCAATTCCCGATAGTCGAGTTAAGAGTAAAGACTCGATCGAAGGATCTGTTGAGTCTGCTTAGCTAGCTGAGAACTCTTCGTGTGAAGGCGGTGATGGGTATCCTTTCTCTAGTGGAAGACCCATTTCGCTCGTTGCCGAACCCTCGATGGGAGATGATTCTATCCTCAATCTTCTTGGACCCGTTACCAGCTTCACACTTAACACTCTGCAATTGTTAAGATTATCAGATAAGTGTTCGTGTTAGCTATGTAGGGACTCCAGTAGGCTCATGGGTACTTGCTAATGGAATCGCACATTTAAATTTATTTCCATTCTCATATTGTTACACATTTATACTCCGTACAGGAAGATAAATTCCAGAAATTGAGAAGTCTGAAAATGGGCACAACTGTACTTGATAGAAAAGGCTAGGTAGGCCTGTAATAAAGTTTGACCATCTCGAATTTCTTTTAATCCCTCAGTCACGTCATCTCATACGTCAGGGGTGTCAAACTCAAATTGGTTGGCGGGCCGCATTCCTTGCCCTGCACATGCCTGCGGGCCGCATCCATACTTTTTTTTTCCACGAAATTTGTGCTGACAGTCAATCCAAGCAGAAATTTCAAGAACAGACGGCGAGCCGGATAAACCACCTCCGCGGACCAGATCCGGCCGTATGTTTGACACCCCCGCCATACGTGGATTCTAGGATTTCATTGAGGTTTACATTTCCTGGGATACTATACGGGACTTATGTGGGAAAAAAACTAGGCATGGACAGCCCAGTTTTTGCACTCTTTTCAGTTTACTGCGACAAATGGCACCGGCAAAGTGTATTATTGCATATTAACAAATCTCTTTTAGCACAAAATATATGAGGGGCAATCAACAAATTTCCTGTCTGATACGGAAGAGAATTCCAGGAAGTATGGCTTTCCAACTGCACAACTTAATATAGTACGATATTCCGCGTGTCAATATCTTCCCTTTGTGATATTCCTTTCCATTTTTTAGGGTCATTTTCTGAACTGATTGGTTGATGACAGTAAAAATGAAAAAACTTTAAGTGCCTCTTGGGAAAAAATATTCCACAATGGAATTGTCAGACTACTAGATGAGATACTCTAACAAAGTGTGTAACATGTGTATGACATTCAGAGGCCTGCATATTCGTTCAAAATTCATATATGAATATTCATTCAAGTATTCAGATTTTTTTTTCATTTGGCATATTTCTTCGTATCTCGAAATATCTACTTTTCACGTTCTCCATTCACTCAGATCAAGAAATGAATAAGAAAGATAAAAAGGAGTATTTGAAGGTAATGGCATCTACGCTCAGTGTTCGCACCAATTATGCAATGGTATTACACTAATTACGTGCCTTTTCGATGTCAAACCAAGAACTTATTGATTGCCCCTCGCATACTCTTCATACGTGCAAACCCTAGATTCATGCATTATGTACAGTCCCGTTCTCTTTGAACATAAAGGAGGCTTTTAAAAAGAAGAAGCAAAAAGAAAAGAAGTCATCCCGTGGACAGCTTCTTATTTAAACGTGTAACAACCCTAGAGATCACTCTTGTTGTGTTTATGAAAAGTCGAATCGCATGTAGCTTTAGGAAGGCGTAAGTTTCTAAGCATTTCAGAACAGCTTCACAAGAGATTCTCGTGACATCACTGATCGGTACCTTTGAGTGTATTTTTTGTCTTCTTACGCACGGTTACACCAGGTCCAGCTGAGTCTATATGCACGGCGATAAACGAAAACTGACAAACGGTTCCTTCTTAAAAAAAAAAAAATTAAGCAGATGGGGGATGTAGCGGTGAGAAGTTGAATGGAAGGCAACCGTCGAGGGAAAAGTTGAGGCCCTATTGTTGCTAGTCAACCCCCTTTTTTTCAATCAACATTTTCTAGGAGGACCTCCACCTCCCTCGTATTTAGAGGACCCATAACTACAAGGAAACATCAAAGTGTATCTTTATCTCGGAGATTCCCAAAGAAAATTACTTTCGTGCAATATTCGGAATAGATTTTGTGATGGTGAGAACGATTTCTTTGTTTCCTCCTGCCCGAATATAGAATCTTCGCAGAGGTTGTGCTTGGCTTTACTTCTGTTCGTGTTGGATCCTCGACCAAGTATGGCAGCCCCGGTGCGATCATATTCCTCGAAACCGCCAAGGTGGACAAATCCATGCGGGATCCCATCGGATCCAAGTCTCATTCACGACATGAGGGAAGAGCACGACATTGACCCTTCCACTGATGCAGAAATTCTAACTAAAATCCTCCAGCAAGCCAAGAGAGTTCGTCTCTACATGGAGGAAGTCCGAGAGCGATACGTGAGTCTCTTTTCTGTGTACTACTTATCCCTTCTCCCTGCCTGCCTTTTCTTTCTTTTTTTCTGTGCTCCATCCATCTTTTCCTCATCGATGACATCGTCAGACTTGCTTGTAAAAGCCCTATGAACCATGAGTAAGATTTCCCATGTTCACGGAATGAAGGTCAAAAAGAGTGGGAGAAAAGTGAAACTGCATTGAAGGGTCGCGACCATCCGATAGTGATGACCTTCTGTTCCTAGCCATGACATCTCAAGTCTTTCTCTTTCTCCTTCAGGTTGACAGTTGACAGCTTGGCTAAGTCACTTTCCTCTGTTTTTCCTATTCTGTTATGGAAAGAAGTCACCACTCACGCTGAGTCTGAGCGAAATCGGTCCCATTGCTCGTGTAAAAATTAAGCAAGCAGAGATGGGTACGAGGGATAATAAAGGAATTGCTTTCTTCGGCCCTCTTTGTAGTAATTTTCTATTTTCTATCGGGGAAACAATTTTTCACATCGAGTTCATGGGATGAATGGTAGGATGGTAGGATCGAGTTCATGGGATGAATGGTAGGATGGTAGGAGGAAGCAGAAAGATGGAAGAAAGGATAAAAAAGTATTCCTCGCATAATGGGGTTCCCTTCTCAAGAGGATAGGTGATAGGTGAATGAACGTTGAGCTGGACCCGGATCTTCCCTGTACAATTTATGGTCTAGACACATTTTTTTGTTTCAGAAGCAGGGGGGGGGGGGATGGTCACTGATGGGATGACAGCTAGCTTGCTCATACTACCTTGGTCACACAAAGTTAAGTGTCTAGCTGAGGCCCGCAGGCATGTGCAGGGCAAGGTATGCGGCCCGCCAACCAATTAGAGTTTGACACCCCTGACGTATGAGATGACGTGACTGAGAGAGAGAGAGAAAAGTGAAAGTGTGAAACGCCAGCTCAGTCATCTGAATCTGAAGGAGTTTCGAGGGCGACTGTAGCTGGGGAAACCCCCTGGCCCTGGACTACCTTCTGCCTGTGCAGACACGACACGCTCTCTGCCAACCGGAACCTCTGCTCTTTTATTATTTTGTCTCCTTTATCCTTTCCGCTTATTCCGATATCATTACCGCTGCCGTCATCTGCTCGGGATTCCCTCATTCTCTCTTACTTCCACTGTATTGGGAATTCCCCAACAGCTTTCACCTACTTTTCCTTCATAGGTATAGATATAGGGGGTGGTGGGTGCAGAACACTTACTCTCCATTCTAAGAAAAACTTGTGTAATAGCGGGTTTTATGACTAAAAACTTCATATTGGCATAGAATATAAAGTAACTTCCTGCCACCCCAGAATATAGTGGTATTTTCCACCCATATCCTTTTGGTACCGGTATTGGATTTTTAATGTTTCGGTGCTTATTTATTTTGTTATTTCGGTTTTTCTTCGTCCGTGCCTCTTTACACCATCTGAAGCTGTAGGCATTCTGAATTTGTGAACTAAACCAAGCATCCCTCAACCTGGCCCTGAATGGGTTGTCTGGGTCTCGGTCATTGATGACACTTGTATTTTCTCCCCAGTTCCCACTGGGGCCAATTTTTCATGTAAACCACTTTCCTTCTGCTTTGAAAAGAAGATTGCCTGAAGTTAACAAAATGAATTATTTTCATGCTTAAAGAAAGTATTGCATGAAATTCCGCTAGAACGCGTGGCTGTAGGCGCTTAGCTAGGCAATAGTGCACGTTTTTTTCAAGTCTGAACTTGAGACTGTGGACCACAATCGCTTCCTTATTCATTCGCTCCTGAAAAGTTAACATGCTGGTTGATTACGCCGCATTGACTATGGTAGGTATGTATTTCAATATTAATGCACAGTTAGTTGAGGTGAGAGTCATCTCAGCGACGAGAAAGTCTCAATAGTGACTCACTGAGACAAAAGGTTGAGAACTCTTGATATTATAACATTTTCTCTGATTCAGTTATTCAATGGGGAGATGATGTTCCTGTATTTTTGGCTCCGGACCTCACCCTTCCCCTATGCTGAATTGGATTTGAAATAATTACTGACAGGTTTAAAGGATCCGGGAATCCGAACCAACGCCGAAGTCAGGTGCCCCATCTCGGATGATGGTATTAATAATTAAAGGGCTATAAATAAACCTGTTTCGGGGCCAAGAGAAGTAGATGAATCTGCTTCTGTTTCACCGAGGGCTTCAGAATGAGTCATGGTTTTTCGTTTTAACAGGGGTCCAGTTAAAATTCCGCCTGTCTGTGTCTGATGACGCATCCGGGTTTCTTCGGTATTTCTCAGCTAGCTTATCCTATTTTTTTTGGGTAAATTGAGAAGAGGAGGCTGTGACTTCGTGTCGCCTTATCTGTTTCTGCGTATGGAGGAGTCGCAATTCCTGATGTAGTATGTAAACACCACTGTCCTCACAATAAGGATGAGATGGGCTGTACGTGACGTCAGAATGACGTCACTGCAGACAGGAAGACCCCCCCTCTTTCTCTCTCTCTTCCTGTCTCCCGTGGACAGCTTCTTATTTAAACGTGTAACAACCCTAGAGATCNCTCCCCCCCCCCCCCCCCCCCCCCCCCCCCCCCACGGCTGGGCCTGGGAGATCCGGGACCGAGAACGATAACATTAACATCCCTCTTCTCGTTTCTTAGTATCTTGCTCCCTCCTACCCCCTCCCTCCTCCATCGAATTCTCACGGAATCATCGTACACGCAATCCTGTTACTGGTATTACTGATGCGCTAGAAGCCTTGGGTGCGTGGTCTTGATCGTGACGAAGCGAAAATCGCCTCTCGGAATTAGGACCTTTTGTAGGCCGAGGTACAATCCCTGGCACCTACTGAATAAGAACCTCGCAGGTCACGATGTCTATTCGATCCTCGTGAAAACGACGCAGGTTTAGTCCCAAAGATGTAATTGAATTTCGGGCAGGCATGAGAAGAGGCTTGACCTCTATAATCAAGGCCTATAGGTCTTGATTAACTAATACTCCCATTGTTATAGTCAATAATAAAATATTTATGTGCATTAGATGTTAAATGTCGTGTAATGCTCAGATTCATACTTTGGTACCAGGACTATTCAACGCCTCATTATTGTGATCTGAAGTTGAAACTTTCTGGTAAGTACTGGGATTAAAGGCTCCGGGATGTACAAAGCGATAAATATGATGTAAATTTTTGTATTTTCTGTGTTTTCTTATGAATTTTAACGAAACTTTGTGAGAACAGCGAGGAAAGTTGTATGAATATGTCGTTAAACTAGCTTTCTTAGTTTGGCTTCCAGCCAAATCGAAATGGAAGAAGATCTTAAAATACAGTATGAATCTAATGTCTGGAATCAATGGTATATTTGGTTATTATAATAGTTATTTGCTTATCCTTAGAATGTATATTAATTTCTGTTGGCAGTAAAATGGAACTGGCAAAGAACGAGTGGTTTACGCCAGATGGAACTGTGAAACATAAGGAATGGCGGTCACATAGAGCACCTTCAATCCCCATTGATTCCAGATATTTGAATCATACTGTAGATCGTTGGTGCAGGAGCTGAGCGAGGGAAAGCGCAAGTATAGGCGACGAGCGAGTCCTTTTTGGGTGTGCAATCATCTTAGCAAAACGACCCGAATCGTCAATTACTTACTAATAGCCAAATTCTTTGTGAAACTTGGAGGTGGAAGTGGTTTGGTTATATTGCGAATTGGCAGTGGAAAAGTAAGAAATAGAGTGCCGAGCATTGCGAAGAGTTGATCCCGAATTTGCCTAATGGCTCCTCATGCCGGTTAGGCCCATTGGGGCCTTTCCCTGACGGGAGCTCACGTGCTCCCGCTTCTCTTCATACTGTATATTCCATAGCGTATCGGCTCCATCCTTTTTGCTTCTTCACATACTCATTAATGGGAGAATCATCCAGTCGAACTAGGAATGCCGGCAACATCAGGCCATGACAATCCCCTTGTTCGTTATGGAAGTCGATGTTTGTTTTGCTTCTTTGATGTACGTATTTAATCCCTCTCAACTTCCCTTCTTCAAGACAGAAGTCTTTTCGCAAGTTCTTCGAGTTGAAAAATTCATGCGCATTCGTTAGGAGAGAAGAGAGCATCTTGTGAAGAACCAAGAGTTTTAGAAAATCTCGAACAACGAAACCTGATTTAGGTTTGCCTCCGTGCATACGGGAAACGGAACACTGGGAATAGGAACTTGCTTTGAGTACCAGCGACCTATTACGATCACTACAAAGCAATCACTGCAGATCATAGGAGTGCCTGCTATATGAAATCAGAATCTATCGTTAGTAAATGTTGAAAATTTTTAAATGCCCAGTTATGAAATCAAATTCCGGATTGCTTGATGTAACTGATTTGTTGGTTAAATTCATTATTCTCCATGTTTGCATTGAGAGTCCTGAAAAATTAATACCTGGACATTCCCGACTTTTGTGGGTGGGTGGGGTGAATCCTGAAGGGTAAGATATCTTTGGAAAGAAGGCTAGCTAAACATGGATTTTCTCCATGGAAGGGAGCAGGTGACTCTCGGCACCTGTTATAATCAACCCGTTCCCGATTCCCAGGATGGCAGGTGTGTTGATGGTTGAATTGTTTCCGAGATCAAAAGAGGAACACACACACACACACACAATCATCTACCGTGGATTCCTCATGGCTTCAGCCTCAGGCTATGTCATGAGTTCATTATAATATACTACCTTGGTTGCTCTTTCTCATCGCTTCATCTTCCTCGACGCGGGCAGGTGCAACTCACCCATTCGCTCATTATCTGCGAGTTATCGGTGAATTTTCTTTGTGTCACGCTGGACGTGAACGAGATAAGGACATTCATAAAGAAATAACAATCATGCTTTCAATTCGTGTGGCACCTGGATAATAATAATAAAAAATGCTCTTGTAGGGTTGAATTCGAAAAAAGTTATCGGAATGGCGGTTACCAGAATTGCGTTCCAAGTCACTTCCACGCAATTCGAAAGTTTTGATTCCACTTCTGATGGGGTAGAAGAGATTATGAGGGAATATTTTCATAGGCTAGTATTCTACCGTTTTGTATTTATTATGAATCTGTAACCGTTTGAACTGAATTTGCTCTGTCGGTGCGGGGAATGATGTAGTTGATTTCAGACTTCCAGTCAAATCCACCTTAGCAATCACTAGCCTTCCTAGCAGTCCAATCCACCTTAGCAATCACTCGCGTTGGAGTTGATCTTTGTATCTCATCTACTCGACAATTCAGCTGAAAAAATGTCGCGACTCGAATGACATGACCCCTATCGAGTGAGGTTGACATAGATTGGTATCTGTCTATTGCTGTCAGCGTCATGGATCAGGTTTAAGGATCAGGTTTCTGAAAACTCGGCTGGACTTGATTGACTCCACTTGAGGGCTTTCCTCGCCCAAGAGTAATATTCATCCTACGCTAGTATCAGGTTCCTCTTGTGACGTTCATGGGCGCTTACCATGACGTGAACGAGACTCCTAGATTTTCTTTCCCCCTTTGCTCTTTTTCTTACTCCCCCTCTGTCGTCCCACCTTGCAGCTTCTACGTCTTTGAAAAGGGGTCGACTAGAGAGAGAGTGCGTGGGGGCTAGAAAGGAGGAAATCATAATTTTCCCTCTGTTATGATTGAAAAAAATTATTGTTGATAGATATGACATTTTGCTAGCAAAGGACAAGGATGATATGCTGGGTCTCAAGTGTTGATATTGCCCTGAAAATACTATTTAAAAAAAAGAAACAACTGACAGGCCTAAGAAAACAACTACTGAAATACCGAATTGTTTTCGACAGATGAGGTAACATATCGCTTTGTCAGTATGTCCTTTATGGTTTTCATAAACAGATTTGGTACTAAAAGTGCTAGAATATATTTTGTCTCTGAAGCAGATAGACCAAGTTGAAGTAAAAAAAAAATATTGAACGGACTTCTTGGTCCCCACATTGCATCAGTGAAAAGACGGCTGGTGCATGATTTGGTGCGTTTTCGACGCTTTCACCGCTACAACGATCACGTTCGTCAGTCGCCATCCGGTTTATACAGGGTTACAAGAAGTCACTGTGCAGGGAAATTAATTCATTTTGTGCCTTTTATTTAGTACTATACTGCATATCACGCGTATTTCATCATCAAAGACAGATATTCACACGCAATACTTCATCAAATATTTGCACCATCCATGATGCACATGATTTATTGTCTGTACATCCCTTCTACAATGAACTCTACCGCACAGTGACTTCTTGATCATGTACGCGTACATCTGCTGAGCAATGTGGTTGCATGTGAACAATTGAGTGAATGTACTAGCTAATTTACTCTACAGCTACTCTTAGACTGGAAATCCTGAATGCGTTATGTATTACACGCAAGGAAATAGTTCGGTCTGCTGTTTTCTTGCTGGAAGAGGATGGGATAGGCAACCAGCCTGAAATGTATGAAGGAAATTTTTTTTTTTTTTAGTTAAGGATTCCATGCACATGGGAAGCATTCGTTGGCTTAGCTACTGAATTCACGGTTCTCTCATTTACCGTCACAGCCTTCTTTTCAAAGCACCACAAAAATCGAACTGAATTGAAGCAGAATATTTCAGTCCATTCTTAGGATAAATTTACAATATCATAACTTCATGAGGCTGTGAAAATTCTGCACGTATTGCTTAGTCGTTTTTCTCCGCGTCAAAGCGAAAGCTGGACGTATTGTTCCGCCTCAAAATTCTCGAAAATTACAAGGAGTTAAGAAAAAAGTGGTTCGTTTACAAGTGATTCATGACAAAGCCAACTGATTGGTAATGTAGGTTTTTTTTTTGTTGATAGAATGTTCTGGTAGATTTTTTTGGGGGGATGTTTAGGATGTGCGTAAGGTGTTAGGATGGTAGGATGGGAGAGCTGTACATTATACCGACAAAGAAAAAGACTCACTACTAGATTGAAGCTGTCCAGCTTGTTTTCTTTTTTTATTTTTAACTGACATAATTTTCCAATAAAACTATCGATTGCTCGTTCCTGTTGCCACCGACTGTATTTGATGGAAAGGTTGTCGAGCACAGAAAACTAGAAAGAATTTCTTCCATTTCCCTCCTTTCCCTTCCTCAGCCTGCATATTTTTTCCTCCTAGCAATGAGTGAATTCCCAGCATCCCATTTCCTCGCCTACACTCGAGTTACTGACTGGATGGGTTGCTGATGAAGGTTTATTTTGGATGTGACAGGTGTTCGAGACGTTTAACTTGGACTTCGACACGCATCATCAGTTGTGGAAGGACAGTCGGACGGACTGGCTTCCCAGTCACTCGAAAATCCCCAAAGAACTCGGGGAAGTCACTCCTCAGGAACATCTCCGTGGACTCCAGGTCACTTTCTCTCAGATTTTCAATTTTCATAATTTCCCTCCCACGTCTCTCTCATCTGTGCCTCGATTCTCATCACAGATGCAGGGGTTCATGAAGGCAGTTTACGAGTACTTCCAGCAGTATTCCGTGGGATTGGAGCAGTTTATCCTGGATCAGGCTATGTATGGGGGGCCTCATCAGGAGAGTATTCAAACCTTGGAAACGCAAGTAATGCAGGTCAGACTTCTACATTTCCAGATATCACATTTACTGTTCCCCATCGTCCATCGCCTTCTCCCATCATTTTATTGCGTTGTGCATTTTTTTTTTAAATGTGCGAAATTGTTTGTCTTTATATTCAGCTCCTTTGCGAACTCCAAGTGGGGATGATGGAGAAGGGGATCAGGCCGAATCCGGATGTTCCCAGGGACGTCATGTCCGAAGAATTTCGGGATATCGAAGACGAGAGTCAACGGAATCTCCGGGATTGGATTATCTTTCGAGATCTCAACAATGCCGTGGAATATTCCATCGATGGCCTCAATCATCTGCTCCACGGAGGACCATGAAGGATCCTCATGGATCTTGCATTTTTGAAACTGTCTCTCTCCTGCACTCTCTCTTTCGCTCACGTGCTCTTTCATCATACCTTGTGATGTTCAGAGAGGAAGAGGTGAAAAAGGAAAGAAAAGGAAAAATAAGGGAGAAAGCTGCTGGCAGCTGGATGGGAATCTGAAACTGAATTCTGAATCAGGGTCCCTTTCAAGTCTTCCCATCTCACTCGGTTCCCTTCCATCCCCACCTCCCCTTCCTCCTAAATCCCAACCCACCACTCTTTTAAGGAGCTCTCCTAAACCATTCAAATCGACGCTTTGGATCGGTTGTTTCCTCTGGTTGTGACTCTGGAATTTCCTGGTATAAGTTATTATATCCACATGGTACCTGTAGTTAGAAATTTATTTCTCATAGCAGCAGCCTAATGAGTGATGGCTAGGGAGGCCTCCTTTATCCTAGAGTACATTCTTGTAGAATTTCTAGAGGAATGTTCTAGAATATTTGTGGTTGGTGGTCACCTCTGCGATGACTCGAGCTAGTAAGGAATCAGTGAAATTGACCCTCAATTTCTGCACATGTATTCCACCTCATCATTTATCTGTAACTTCCATCAGTTGGTTTTCTTTTCTCTCCAGAAAGCATTTGGAACTTGTGTAGACATGAAGGAAATCTCTTGTCCTAAGTATACACTGAAAAAGATGTTGGCTTCCAGGAGTACCTGAGAGCTCATCAGAGAATGCCCAAGAACACATCACGCTTCCATGAAAGCGTCCGTATGTGTTCTTTGATGTGCTCCCATTTGTCCCTGGAGACCAAAATTTGTTAGAGTAGTGACTGAAAAGTAATGCCATTGTGGGTGAGCATCATTTTCCTGGATTCATGGCTTTTGTGATACAAGTTGGAGTCGTTGAGGTCTAGACAATCCTTTTTCTTTCATCGCTACAAAATTAAAGCATATGTTTTATAAATTTTCCCACAGCCCCTTTACCCCTATGAGAGGAGTTCCATGCCACTATTCTCCTGCAGCAGCTTACCCCCTTCCCCTACAGGTTTTTAAGATTATTTTTGTTTTAAGCATGTCGTTTCGTTCTTCTCAATGGTTGAGAAGGTGGATGTTACTTGGCCAAGGGGAAAATGTGGGATGGATGGGAATCGAGTGTCTCTCTTTCAACTGTGACCTCTGACCTCTGAGTGCGAGTCGAGCCAGACTCTCATCTGGCTTGGCTGGATGTTGAAAGCATTTACTATATGCCTCTATGGACCATGGTACTGTACTCTACACTTCTCTCTCTATCACGAAGTGAATGTACTGTACTTTTGATGTGACACTCTATCTCCACTCTTTAGATCTGAAGTTTACTCTCTCTCTCTCTCTCACTCTCACTCTCACTCACACTCATCCCCCAACCTCTCTTCCATGATCATGAGAAATAGATCCTATTGCATGATGAGACAGTAGGATGAATCTCTTGAGATGTATGGCAACCATGCATTTCCTCTATTCTCTTTTCTCCTCTTTTGCATCTCCTAGACATGGGGAAACAATTCTCTTCCTCTTACTCTCTCCCTTATGAACCAAAGATAATTATACAAATGATCAGGTGATGAGAACCCAGGTGGACATGAGTGTGGGGATGAAGGCTAGAAGTGACTCATACGCTTTTCTTCCCTTCTCCTTCTATCTGTCATCCTGTTCATTCATGCTCATTCCACCTGGATTCCCACTTTCTTTGATTTTTTTCTATTGTTTTTCTTTCATGCCAAAACCTCCCTTTTCCAGGGCTGGTTTATTTGACATCCTTCCTCCTCTCGCTTCTGTAACTGTGATAAAATACTGTAGCTGTTATTTATTGTCTTGTGTACCACAAATAAAAGAAGGAAATAAGAATTTGTGCCTCATTTGTGCCCCAATTTGTTCAGATCTCCAGGAAAATGACCAGACTTGGGGTGACATGCACCAGATTTGTTTAACTTTAAACTGATTCATTTTCATAATGGGTGTCTATGGGGATAAGTTTATCTCTGTTAAACTGATTCCCATAGGGTACCATTTTGAGATCAGATTAGTTTAGCTTAAATGGATTCAGTGCGTGTCATCCATAGACTCCAAGTCCATTCTATTGCTGAAATCCTTTCCTCTCCAGATGTTCTGAAGCATTGATGATCCAAAGCTCCTCATGAGCAGAGGTGGCAGAGGCAACAAGGACAACAACAACAACACATGAGAATGTTAAAACGTAGCTCCTGCATCTTGAAGAACCTACAAAAGGAAGAGCAGTGTTGATGCTTCAGATGTGTTTCACTGTAAAATATGTTTCTGTTTATCTCATCTTGACACCATTCTTTCCTCCCACATTTGAATACATCTCTACTTAGATGGGTGCTTAAGCTTCATAGTACCCTTCTAGCATAAATACATCTCCAAGTTGTGCCTGAGGTACCCAGTTGGAAAAAGTAAAAAGTTCAATCGATAACTTTTAGGGACATCTTGCAGTCATAGAAATGTCTATGCGTAGGAACATCCCAAGAATGAGCCTTTCTCATTGAAAGGAATCAATTTTCTACTATCTCAAGAGCTTCCCAAACTAGTCCCAGGGACATTCTCTCAGCACATTTAAGAAGACAGAGACATATGACTTTTAGAGAAATCTCAGGATCATGGAAATGTCAGGGTGAGGGGACATCTCAAGGGTGGTCTCCTGGGTTTCCCAGAAGCTCCATAAATGACTTTTCAAGGACTTCCTCAGGCCATTGAAGTGTCTGAGTGGGAAAACATCCCAAGGATTACTGTGTCTTTCCTTGAAAGGGATCCAATTGGGATATTTCTAAACTCAATGTTGTCTTGAAGGCATCTCATTTGGGATGCCTAGAAGCATTGGGCAGAAGAATATATATTATAGGGTGTCTCATGAAGACCTTGGGACAAGTTGTAGTATGGGGACATCCCTAAGGAATGCTACACTTGCTGCCCCCGTCCTGCAATGTTTGGAAGCGCTGAAGTTAAAAGTGACACGTCATAATAAATAATTATGCAGTTTCATCATTTCAGCGATAACAAGAGTGCAGTGTTTGGTAATGGAACTGGTACTTAGTTCCTTTTCTACGGAAAAATAGGCGCTGTTACTGTGACGCGTTGCTCTATTGTCGAAAAACAAATTTTCATGTGAAAGTGACAGGTGCTTTATGATTACGTTCATCCTTGCCATGAGTGAAGTCAATTACAAAATTTAACATGCTATTTTTCAACTATAAAACTTCCTTGCCTGTCTATGCAGTGCTGGAGTGGCTTTATATAGCATAACGTCAGATGTTTTTACAAGAGAAACTGGATTACTGAAGCCAGCTTTGAAAAGTACCCAGATAACATTTTTCGTGGGCCCACGTTGGCCCAACGTGGTCCTCCAACGTCAGGATACGTCGGGGCCAACGTGGGGCCAACGTTGGCAGTAAGTTGGATAGCAACGTATGACTCACTTACCCAAGTAACTGGTTATTGCTTTATATTGTGACGGATGAGGATGGCATCGGGAGACTCGACTGAATGTCCGGGGTTCGGTGGTGTAGTGGTAGCACACCTGACCGGCAATCAGGAGGCCCGGGTTCAATTCCCGGCCGTTCCTTGGGTTCTTTCGACCTCTCATGCCTTTCGTCGTCCGTCTGCCACTTCCCCTCCGTAACAATATCATCATCATTTCGTACCATATACTTAGATTCCCTATCCAGTGGAGGTATTCCCATCTGTAGTACGGTACCTGTACTATGTGCTACAACCTACCAAGGACATGAATATATGCCCTAGATAGGCAGGAGACATAGGACAATACAGACGGGGATTGTACTGATTACAGTATACGTCAGAGGATGGACCATCTGGTACGGTTCCATGAAGTATCCGCGATGTTATTTCCTCCTGTAGGAGGAAATAAAGGATGAGGAAATGGCGGAATTGAGTTTACGGATATTCCCTCTATAATTTGGATCTTCGTTTCGGATGATCTAGTCTTTCAAAAGGGTTCTCATTGGGAATATGAGTTTGTTCATGGCCTGAGCTCCATGAATCTGTCTTGAATAAGTGGATAACAAATGATGAAATGTCCGCGTTTATTGATTCCTATAATGAGAATAGGCGAGACATATGGCGAGGTACTAAACAATCCTGCGAAGGACGATTCCAGGGAAAGAGGGAAGGGATCTTTTGCGTGCTGTGCGAAAAACGAGACCCCATACCTTCATCTAGCGGCCACTAGGAGTTCTGCAGTTCTTTTCAACGTGTGGATATGCCCACGTTAGGCCAACATCGTTCCGCAACATTCGCGTTCCGCCAACGTTTCCCACCTTCATCCAATGTGGGCCCAACGTAAAGTGTTATCTGGGTAACTCCTTTACGGTGTATGGCGAAATGCCGAATCCCAGTTGGCCGAATGCCATAATGCTTAATTGCAAGTAGGTAGAATGTCTGAAATACCTAGGAGCTAAAATTAGAAGCACAAAATGCCGAATGCTATAAACGTCTATGAGACATTTTATTTCTCAGTCTTCAATGGAACGCAGTAAACAACTTTCCAAGAGAAAAAATGTCCTTCCCTTGTCAGAAACTACCCAGCAAACAAGGTAACGTTGGATCAACGTTACATCAACGTTCCGAACGTTCATTCAATGTTGATTCAACGCTGATTCAACATTATGTGTTTCAAATTGTTTGCTGGGTAGGGGCTAAAGGGGGCGAGAATGGGGAGGTATCAAGGAAACATACAGCCACTCTGTGCATTCAGAGTCGCGCATTGTGAGCTAATGGCCCTCAATATATTTTGACAAAAGTTCTGTAAGTTTCACACACGCGCTTGATCCAGGGGAGGGTGGCCGATTTCCGAGCGATGAATTTCTGTTCCCCTGCTCCTTGCATGGTTCATGTCGAAGATGAAGATGTGGGGTGGTCCTTGCCAACTATAGATGAAAGGCGTCAGTGCAAACCTTCCAACTTACTAGCGGTATGAGTTTCCGCATTCTGAGCATGACCCTCAAAAGTCACGAAAGAGTTCACAGCATATTGTGCTGATACGTAAGCAAGGGATTCGGATTTGAATTAAAAAGTCATCATTATTGAAATTACCTTACTGTCTGTACCTTCCTCCACAAGGAGTTGACCAAGATGGAAAAAGCAGGTCGCATCTTATACGTGGGATCTGCTTTTGGAATGAAGGGAATGAACTTTGTATTGCCAAAATCACTCCTGTCTCCAAATCAGAAGGGAAATTGGTAACGAATCTTGTGCAACAGCTCCCCTAAATTCCACCATCGAGGGCACGAAAAATGGAATGTGTCGTGAGATTCTATTGAGTCCTACCTTTGCAGTCAGAGTTTTCAGCATTTTTTATGATTTCTTGAAGATTAGGTTATGGTCGGTGTCTCCAACGTTAGGAAATCGACATTTATGTTCAACATCCCCCCCCCCCCCGTTTGGTATTCCGTGCATACGTAGTATGCGGCGTTCGGGATTTTCGTTTCGGCAATTCGTTATTCATTCCATCCAATATTCCATCCATTGGAAAAAAATATAAATTTCAAGCCACCAGCGTTAGGGAAAGTAACTTGAGAAGCAACTTATACTTGCAACAAGTAACTGTTGGTGAGGAGTAATTCAACTTGTAACTAAATACTCCCCGTTACTTTCGGAATGGAATAAGTGTTCTTGTAGGTGCTTGAAAAAAGACGTCTGAAACAGAAACATTCTATTAAAAAATGATGGAAATATGTGCAAATTCCAAAAAGCAAATATGACCTGACAGCAAAATCTTGCCGTTACATTTTTGTCAGCCGAATCCACCAGACTATAACGTCATGCATACTTCGCTAGCCTTCTTTATAACATCCAAGATCACATCTATATTAAATATATTTCGTGACCTCTTCTTCACTGGCGGGTTTCTACCATTGAGTCATTGCTGGAAAATATGTCCCTTATCAGGATAGGGTGAGATATTGCAAGGTCCCTAAGATGTGGCAATGGCCCCCTTGAATGGAATGCAAAGGGGTTTTCGTTTTCGTTCCAAGAACACGAAAAAGTGATCGAATCAGAAAATGTATTTACGTCTTCTGTATCGCGAAAATATTAGCGTGTCTTCTGCTTGGTACAGCATGCTCTTTCTCATTTCGAGTATGATCCATAACATAAGAAGAAAGAACACATTTTTATACGTTTTTCGTCAAAAATGAAGAGAAATGCAAAAAAAAGACTGGAGGCGTTAGGCTTGGGGTACAACGAATGTGTCTCGCATGCTCATTTTACATGAGCGTGTATTATGCGCGATTTCCGATCTGGAAAGCAAGACATCATGCAGAGTCCTTTTTTAAAGTTTAATTTCAGATTAAAGTTTGAGATTCAGGTTGGATTTTTGAACAGAGCATTATCCGAGAGTGCAGCTTTATTTAAGAGAAAATGCATTATAAATCCGGTAAATAAAGCTGCATTATCGGTTAGTGCTCTGTTCAAAAATCCACCCTCAGATTCAGAATTGGTGAACCTTTCCTGGTCTTGTGCGGCACTGCGTTCCCACCAATATCCATAGGAATAAGCTATTTGGAAATCACTCTAAATAGCAATATTTATTATCGTGAAACATGTTACAAGTTAGACATCTTTCTTAGTCGACAATCATGACTCGAAGCTAAGAAGTATCTGATTGGAAAGAAAGTTCTCGGAATTTCTTGAATATCCAGTACAATTTTTTTCCAGAGCATGCTAGAATGTTCTGCGTGTGTTTATAAGTAGGTCGTGTCCTTCGGCATACAACCGTATATTATTACAACCCTGGTACTCTCCAGCCATGAACCAGCCCTACCCTCTTACTAAGGAGCAAGTTCGCCTGCTTCTTCTTTATGACTTCCGAATCAAGAAGACAGCCAATTCCATCGCTGACATCAATACCGCGTTTGGCCCGGACACCGTGTCCAAGAGCACTGCCTATGATTGGTACAGTCGCTTCCAGAAAGGAAATGAAAGCCTGGAAGACCAGCCACGCACCGGTCGTCCTTCGGAGTTTGATGACTCTGCCTTGCAGGAGGCACTGGAGGCCAACAACCGGCAAACATCGCGAGAGCTTGCGGACTTGCTGGGTGTCTCCCATACAACTATCCTTCATCATCTGGCTGAGCTTGGCAAGAAGGCAAAGTTGGGGTGCTGGGTACCCCACAAGCTGGATGATCGGGACCGCCAGCGACGAGTAGACATGGCCATCTCCCTTCTGTCACGTTCGCGCCGAACGGATTGGCTAGACTCAGTGGTGACAGGCGACGAAAAGTGGACCTTCTATGCCAACATTCGACGAAAACGTCAGTGGGTGGACGCCGGAGCATCGGCCGAAAGAGAACCCCGTCAGGAGTTGCACCCCAAAAAGATTATGCTCTCGGTCTTCTGGGATTCGAAAGGCATCATCATGTTTGAGCTGTTGCCGCAAAACACCACCATCACTGCTGCCTACTACTGCCAGCAACTCGATCGGCTGCAGCAGAAACTGGCTGAAACACGCCCAGAAAGACAGAGAACCATCCTCCTCCACGACGATGCCCGGCCGCACACCGCTAGACAGACTCATCTAAAGTTACTGGACCTGTGCTGGGAGGTGCTGCCGCATCCGCCCTACAGCCCCGACCTTGCCCCGTCCGATTATCACCTTTTCGTTGCCCTGGACCGTCACATGGGTGGAAAGCAGTACGCCAACCAAGACGACCTGAAAACCGATTTGGCCAACTTTTTCGTAGCGCAGCCGCCAGAGTTCTATTGGAATGGCATCCATAGTTTGCATAAACGTTGGCGTGAAGTGATAGAGGCCAATGGTGATTACATTCATGATTGAGATGATTTTGCTTTTAAATAAACTGGGTTGTAATAATTGTTCATGAAATTCCGAGAACTTTCTTTCCAGTCAGATATGTATTGTCCTGGGAGTTAAGATTCTATTCAGAAATTTCATTCCCCGTCAACGCCTCCCAAAAGACCTACTTCACCTCTACTCTCAACATTTGTAAGCTTTCTCACATTGTATATATATATTCAGAATTTTCAAAACTTTAAATGAGCAAAATCTATATAATAATATCCGACGTCCTCCTGTCCTCCGTCTGTCCCCCGGAGGCCTGCACGGGTCGACTTTTCCGAACCCGACCCGATCGGCCCTATTCCAGTCGTGGCCCCCTCCTGACGCGAAACTCGATCGTCGGACCGAACTTTACGAACCCGACCCACGGGTCGTGTAGGGCTGATCGGGCCCGCCTGCAGCCCGCTTAGGACTCTAAGCTTCAGTGCTCGAGGTTTCTGTGTCGTTTTTCTAAGCGGCTCTGCTGACGTTTCCAGCATCTCATGACGTCACATTCATGCTGGCCTCTTCAGCGCTCTCATAATTCACTACGTTCCGCTGGCAGCTGCTTGCCCGTGAGTGACGTCATTCAATGACGTGATCGCATCGAGCGGTGACGCAAAGAGGAATTTTTTTGCCAGCAGGTGTAAGCGGCTAGAGGAAAAGACCCTTCTGATAAGAGTATTAGTCTGCACCGAACCAGAAATTTGATTACCAACCGATCTGCACACCCGATCTGTGGGTCAGGTCGGTCCAAGAGAGTTGATCCGTATCTCTGCATGGCTCAAAATCACACTCTATCCAACACCCGGGTGTTCGAAATTCGAATGCTACGAGGCGGAACTCGCTGAAAATTACCATACATCCAATTGAGTGTTCCCCTGATGACGTACAGTGTTTCCCATTGACTTTCGTACCTGCCGCATAATGTTACGCACGAGCGGCAAAATGTTTCGTACACCTTTCAAATTGATCCGCACGCGTTGCATATTGTTTCGTACTCCCCCCTCCCGCACAACGAGCAAGTGCCTCTCCGAATGACGCATCCATCTGACAACCTTTGGAGAGAGGAATGCATGGCTTGTGGATAGACTTTAGAATGGATGGATTCGAATGATTCACGGATTACTCTGAAGTACTCCATGGAAAGACTTGTAAGTAAATGGAAAAGGAGTTCCACACTTGGGAAGTGATGAAATTTCAAATAATGATATATGAGTCAGGAGTACGAATGGACGCCATAACGACCAAGCGCAAAACTGACGAATGCTGTACCATCCACGGGGACTTTGCGATGCAGCCTTTGTTTCAAGAGTCCCGGCCGTAGTTCCCATCAGGGTTGTCAGGTGGTCTTGCCACTCTGAGCAGCACTGGAGGAGTGGAGGAGAGCAGGGGGTACGAAACATTATGCAACGCGTGCGATCCATTTTAAGGGAGGTGCGAAGTATTTTGCTGCCTGTGCCAAGCATTCTGCAAGACGTGCGAAACTCACTGAGAAACACTGTAACGCATCCCCTATCATCCTATGATCCAAAGTGTGGCAGTTTGAAATTCGAGCATTATCCCTTAAGAGTTCTATGATACAGAACTCACTGAAAATTGTTATACCGGGAAATTGGGAGTCTCTGAAGATGGGAAGCATCTCCCCTACTTCATCTGATACCCGAGAGTTCCAAACTCTTACGGGGTGTCTCATTCGAATATTATGAAAAGGAACCCCCTGAAGTTTGGCATAGAGGGAATTTGGCGAAGGGGGGGGGGGGGGGGGGGGGGGGGGGGGGGGACTCAAAGGGGGGGGGGGGGGGGGGGGGGGGGGGGGGGGGGGGGGGGGATGACGGGATTGACTCAATATGCAAAATTCCAAAGCAGTGTGTTTCATTAGAACGGTATAAAAGTCGATTTATCTTCGTTAGGAAGACGTGAATGTTCCACGGGTAGCAGCTAGTGATATTTCAACAAGAGTACCAGCCCAGGTACAGGTCTGGCATTCCACTGGCCCCTGTACCACTGGATTCATTATATATATTCACCGCATCCTAACCATCCAACTTTGAAATAAATAATAGCTGTCATTGGTTCGTCGTAGGCCTATACGAAAAGACCTGGACAACTGGACATGTTCTCGAAGGTCCGCGCGTCCGCGTCGCGTGGAGATGGGAGGACAGTATTAAGTGTAGGATGCCAGATACGGCATTTCACACGTACGCCTAGCAATCCTGTCTACGCCGCCAGGAGCAGTCGCTCTCCTCCATTGGCCACTATGGATCCGTCAGCCACCAGGGCTGGAGGGGAAGTGAATGTTTTCGTGGAAGATTGGGCACCCCGACCCAGGAGGAAAGCTGCGCGTGCGCATTGGGTCGTGTTGTCCGGTCGCTATGGTTACTGCGGACAGACGGAATAAAAAAATATTAAAAAAAAGAAAGGAAAAAAACGTGACAAACCGACCGCAATATCTAGCTTTTCCTCATAGTACCTATGGGAATACCAGATAATAAAGGGCCGCAATACTTCAATTCGATCCCTAGGTCAGTTCGGCAACTCAGTCATTCAGCCTTTCTTAGTTGAAGGAATTCTTTCTCTCACACCCCCTCTACTCATTCTCAGAATTCTTTTATATTACCTGGTAACTTCCCCTCCTGCCCCACAACAGGTTTACATTCACTGTCCTCTTACCCGAGTTTCTCTTATGTGTAGGTGTAGTCCCACTCCCCCCCCCCCCCCCCCCCCCCCCCACCCCCCCCCCCACCCACCCACCCCCCCCCCTCCCNCCCCCCCAGTTTAAAATCCCGGCTGGAAACAGCTATAATTTCCAGCTGGACTCCAGCTGTAAATTCGGACCCATTCCAACTGGGTAACAGCTGGAAAGTAGTCAGATCCAAATTGGTTTTTAGTTGCAATATCACTAACTGAGTGAGAATCTTTTTTATTGAATATTTTTGTCGAAGGTTCATATACAGAAATAGCTGAACTGCAGTTGTAAATTAAGCTGTATTGCAGCTGTCGGGTCCTCTGTATGAAATTCTAACTGGAAATTTCCAGTTGGGAACAGCATTAAAACCAGCCGCATTCCAGTTGGAAAATTCCAGCTATAAACCAACCGGTAACTTCTATTTTCCAGTTCTTTGCCAGCTGGAAATGGTTCGAATTTACAGATTTAGTCCAGCTGGAATATTCCAGTTGGGATTTTAAACTGGGCCCTCCCCCAATTTTTTTTGTCTTCTCTGACATTCCTCATTTTGTCATTTTCTTTTCCCTCACCCCTTTTAATTTGCTACTTATTTTCATGGTACAGCTTCGGTGTGTCCTGTTCAGTCCTGTATGTTCTGAGTGTTCTGTCCAGTTCTATTTGTTCTGTCCAGTATTCTGTTCTGTATTTGCTGACTTATTTTATATTATTTATCTATTCTTATTTATTTATGCTGCTCTTTTTCTATTTACCTTCTGCCTCTTTATGAGAGAATGTAAAGTTGTAACTTTTGATGTCATGACGAACTCAACGGGCCAAATGGTCTTGCAAGAGCGATGGAATAAATATTATTATTATTATTAAGCGATGAAATGTATTTCTGTAAGCGTAAGGTTGTTCTGAAGAGTCCTGTTCCTTAAATGGATTCTCCAAATATGGTAATCTATATCGCATATAATAGATTTGATGATATTGATAAGATGCGGTTACTTGGCTTGTTACTGTCGATGGGCTGTGTGTCAATGAGAGAAACCCTTACATTTTAAAAATTTAGTATCTGGCAACCAGAGACATGGCTCTGCTGGCAACCCTACGTAGAGAAACCATCAATGGCGTCGCAGTTGTTCTCCACAATTCACGTCAACACCAGGAGCTTCTCAGTTTGGAAAAACTCATGTGCTCGTTCTGCCATCTTATTTTATGCCAAGCCACTTCAGGGACTTGAAGACATTCATTCGAGATGACATTTTTTGTGACCGCTCAGCGGGTAATGTTTTATTTGGGTTAGGCTATTATGGCTTACATGAGCATCGAAGAGTGGCGCCCCCAGCAGGTGGCTGATTGGGTTCGAGGTGAGTTAAAAGTTGCATCTTATGTCTGCCTAGGTCTAGAGTGTGCAAAAAAATTGACGTCGCTTCACTGTGATTGACAAATGTGATTTGCAGCTCTTGCAAATAGGTTTCCTCAATTACGAGGAAGATTATATTGACCTAATGAGTACCTAAAAATTTTTGCTTGTAAACAGGAAGAATATCCCTCGTTATGTCACCACCCCTTCCTCAATACATTATAACCCTTTATTTTTGTCACATGCTGTAGGCCTGAAAATTTTCTTTCCCATCTAGTTACTTTGTTTTTCCTTTTTCTAAACTTCTGTCTATAGACCTACAGGGTAGGAGTTTCCATCTGGCAGGCTTTGCCAGAATGTTCCTCTTGATCCGAAGTTGAAAAACGACAAAAAAATAATCATCACCACTGAGGTATACCACTGAGATGGCCTGGACGGCATATACCTAGAAGAGTTAAAATAGTATCAGGTGGAAGTCTTGTAGAGACATGATGGAATAAAAGGGGTTCTGGTTGTAATGTAAAAAACTGCACCTGAAATGGAGTTCCACAGTAGGGAGATTTTTTTCATTAGGGCAGAACTACTGTTGGTGAAAAACTTCAGCTGAATGAAAGAGGATAGAAGAAGATTTGAGGTGTTTCAGGTTCTTATCACCAGGGGTACTGTATATCAAGTGCATTCCTGTGCCCTTATTCCTGACTGGGCTTTACAATGTGTACATTCATCTACCCTGGAACACATAGAGTGTCACCAAAAAAAGAAAGCCCCTACCTACCTATATACAGAACCGTCGAGGTAAATCCGGAATGTGTTCGTAGAGCGCCCTCTAGCGACAATTGTGTGTAACCCTGCAGTTGCCCTATCCCACTTTTAGATCATATCGTCAGGAGTCACTGTGGTATTAGCACGTTTCAACGTGCACAAACATGAGCTGGGAACAGGACCGAAGAGCGGCCATTGTCGAGTCACTTCGCGCCGGAAAATCTCCTAAGGAGATTATTGAGTGGTTTGGATACAAAAAAACTCAAGTTTATGAGATCAGCAGGAAGTTTCGGGAGGCTGACAACCCCGACGAGGTTTCCTCTGAGCGGGCAAGCCACAGCAAACGTTCGGACCGGAAAAGGACAACCGACTTCATTGACGAACTGAAAGAGAAGATCGACGCGGATCCTGGATGCAGCATGGGCAAGTTGGCGATAGAAATGGGCGTGGCACGGTAAAAAATTAGTCTGGCAGTGCACGAGGACCTTGGCTACAAATCCTTTGTTCTCCGGAACTGGCAATTGTTGACAGACAGAAACAAAGCTGATCGAAAACTCAAGTGTCAAGCATTGTTGAATGACATCAAGCACGAGAGCACCGGCTATCTGAGGTTCTTTTACGGACCGGAAAAGGACAACCGACTTCGTTGACGAACTGAAAGAGAAGATTGACGCGGATCCTGGATGCAGCATGGGCAAGTTGGCGATAGAAATGGGCGTGGCGCGGTCAACAATTAGTCTGGCAGTACACGAGGACCTTGGCTACAAATCCTTTGTTCTCTGGAACCGGCAATTGTTGACAGACAGAAACAAAGCTGATCGAAAACTCAAGTGTGAAGCATTGTTGAATGACATCAAGCACGAGAGCACCGGCTATCTGAGGTTCTTTTCGGACGAAAAAAATTGTATTCAGGACAGGAAGGTAAATCGTCAAAATGACAGATGGATATGCCAAGATGCTTCAGAAGTGCCCACCGTCATGCACACAAATGGTCATGGTTCTCGGGGTCGTAAGCAGCGAAGGGGATGTTATGTCACCCCATTTCTTTGCTGAGGGCCTAAGAATCAATGCTGACGGGTACATTCATGTCTTGGAGGCGGTGGTGAAGCCCTGGATGGACGATGTGGCCGCAGGAAGAAATTATGTGTTCCAGCAGGACTCAGTGCCTGCTCACAAGGCGAGGAAGACCCAGGCTTGGCTTCACAGCAACCTGCCCTACCACTGGTCTCCCGATTTGTGGCCACCGTCTAGCCCGGACTGCAATCCCCTTGACTACTACGTATGGGGTGTAGTTGAAGGGAAGGTCAATGCAAAATCCCATAACACCAAGGATGCCCTGAAGGCCACCATTTCCAAGGTAATGACCAACATGGACGAGGGAAAACGCGCATGTAGTCGGTTCCGAAGCAGGCTTGAGCAGGTCGTTGAAGCTGACGGCGATTACATTGAATAATTCCAATGAGGAACATATTTCCAACAATTGTGCCAAGTTGTGTGCAAATAAACTGATTCTATTTCGTGTTTTGACGGTTTTTGTACTTAAACTCAATTTTCCGAATTTACCTTGACGGCCCTGTATATATATATGGGTCTCCATTCATCTCATAGAACTGTTTTTGTATCTTTTGCAGACATTTACAATATATTGGGTGCAAACTTTGTCTTCCAAAAGGATAACACATCTTGGGCTAGGTTGACTCCATAAAAAATGAAGTACCAGTTGTTATTGAACTTCTTATGTGGCCACTCAGTAGCCTCAATGCAGATCCTGTTGATCACTTTGTAAGGGTCTACTGCAATAAAATATCTTCAGTGACAAAACCTGGAATGTTGAAGGTTTGAAAATGGCATGTGATAGGACTGTGACATGCTCAATTACACGTCACTGTTGACTATAATTAAGGAAAAATCTTGTTTTTGCTTTCAAATCCTATACTTGAGTTTATGTGAATGCTGATGGTGATACTCTGCCTGAATTTTGGCTCCCAATAGAGAAGCCATTGCCTAATTATATTACTGATTGTGATTATGATCATTTGGGTAGAAGTCTATGCTTTTCATAAACTCAGGTTTGGACTTCCCCACCCTTCTGTACCGAACTTATTTTGGGTTTCCCACTTTTCTTTTCAGGACTTGAGGATACTGTGAGCATTTATGCTGACAATTTCATCAACAATGGAGTGGATGGCAAAAAACTTCTATTACTAGACACGGGAGACTTAGAAAACCTTGGTGTAAGGAAGATTGGACATCGAGAAGTCATTCTAGGAGCAGTTGACCTTTTGCGACATTGTGTGGGTTCCTCACTACTGACTATTTAGTATTACCAATTTCAGGCTCTCCTCCTTTCATATTTGGGGGAGGGTACAGAAGCATGAAGACCTTTCTTTATGGAGAATTTTGTCATGCTGGACAGGGTTGTATACATGTTGAATCCAATGGTGTAATGGCTGAAGTGAGCCTGCCTGAATGGTGGTCATAATCAAAGCCCTTCTTAGAAGCATTCCACTCACCTATAGATTGAACCTTTCTTGGGAGCATTGTCCCCAAAGTTAGTATTCAATTTCTCAAAGATATCTTTGACTTTCTGTCCTCCATCAAAAATGTAAATAAGCCCTCTGCTCATACTGCAGATTTTCCATCACATGAATAAAGTCTCATATTTAAAACAATTTTTTGAAAGAGAATGGATGAAGGTAAAGGAATGAAGTAAATTACCTTTCCCAAAGAAAATATGTGTCTATTGTAAAACCATGAAAGCCTTTGGTGAATGGAAGTGCCTATGTAAAGAAAGGTTTGACTTTTTATAACCCCTCATAGATTTAATGTGACAGGGAAAGTAGGTGGCTGGTTTCAGTTCATTCTGTGATCTTTTTGCTTCGCATGCTAGATCTACAAGTTTACTTGAGCTTTGCAGTTCCCATATTATTCTTGTAGCATGGATAGGTGCATCTATGAAGCATCTGGCAGCTCTTCTTAAAATAAAAATATAAAATGCCTGAGAGCATGCATGACACTTCCTAATTAACACTTTCACTGCTGAGGATTGAAACGTCTAGCCAACCTCTCCTTACCACGCACTTTTCAGAGCGGCAGTGGAGGTTTGCTTTGCGGAACACGCCATATGGTGTGAACAGTAGTCAAAGTGTTAATGAAAGAAGAGAATCTAGAGAATATTACTTGTATTTATATGTTGAATCCTTCTATTCCAGCATTATGCAGGGGGTCAGGAGACATTACAGACACTGTTTATGCAGCTGGGTGTAAAGGCGACCAGCTTGACAAGGGAGCTGGAACGGACTTTGGAGTCCAATCCACCCCCAACCCCATCTGGGAGAGACAAAGTAAAGACAAGCACAATTGCTGCTGTTGTTGACATTATCTCATCCCTAAAGACTGTTCTCACTTGGCTTGATCGGTAAGCTCTATCCTTATCCTCCCTTTCTTTAGTTTTGGAGAAGATTATTTGGGATTTTAATATTCTCTTGTAAAGTATTAAAAAACAGCAATATGGTACTGATGAACCTAACTTTCATTTGATCCAAAAAATATCATGCACGAGTTTTTTCAATTATCAGGACTCCCTTCAGTGAGAACAAGGAGCTGAGGGGAATTAAGGGGATCTTCCTACGCTGGGGAATGGAACTAGCAACAACAGCACAGCGGGACACTTTTGCCGAGCATCCAGAGCATGCCATCTACCGACTGTGCTGCAATCTTTCCAATCGATGTGAAGAGCTTGTCACTGAGATCACTGACCCACTGACCATACAACCTCCATCCCTTCAAATTGCTATCCTCCGAAAGAGACCTGATCAGGATTTGGTGAGATTCCAATTGCCCTAGCTTTATAGAATACAGGTGCTTGTTTTTAAATAAGAACCTAAATGGGGATCTTTGATACTTTCAGATTTTTTTGTTTTAGAATAATTTGAAGAATGCAAAATGTAGCTTTAGTTGCAGAACAGATAATGCATTGCTGTATTGCAGAGTTGGAGATTGAATGTACAATATGAATGGGATCAGGATTTTTACATTTAGCCCATCTGAAGCTGTCAAATCATTATATGGTGGTTAAGTGGAGGAAACCTAATTGAAGTCAAAATCTGCAGATCTGAATACACGACAATTCATAGTTTATGATTTTTTGTTTTGCTTGTATAAGTATGCCAGAAGGATCACGGGGAACTTGCATTGTATATCATGGTAATGGCCATGCCACTACCATGGTAAGGATCAGCCTGTGCCAATATGAGACTCTAGACTAATGACAAAAACATGTTATAACTGAATTGAATTGAACTTGTTTGAACCAAGGAAATATGGCATGCATTAATAAATGATAATGCTGCATTAGGATGAATTTTGGTACTTAGGAAGAAATGATTTACTTACAGGTCAGGAATCATGAGCAGTGATGCTTGTTGAGCAGGGGAATAAACTTTCCCTAAAGAGACTGGAAATTGGCAGCATTATCTCATTGTATTGACATACTTCTTGTTGATACCTTGTTTATGACTCTCAGTTTTGCACTTCAATCAGATATTCCAGCAACCTGCAAGCAGTGAGATTTCAAAGGTTACAGGATGTCCACAAAGTTTTTTTTATTACTAATGACAATAAAAATTGATTCTGTCAGAAGTTTGATAGATGTGAATGCTATGATGGCTGTTATAAGATGAAGATATTTTGTAATTTTTTTTGTATGTGTTTTAATTACAGCTCCAATATATTTTAATTTATTTTGATACAAATTACTCTTATTGTATTGTATCCTCTATGAGAACAGTGACCAATGCGGTCTGCAGGAGGTGTCAAAGTCTTAAGCGGGAGGCTTCAGGCTTGCTTGATCTCTCTTCAGATGCTTCCTATTTGAGAGAAGACTCAAAGCTAGTTGCATGGAAAACTTTAGTACCAGCCCTGGTACTAATCTACTATTCCACTGGTCTCTATACTATTTTTCACAGTACTTTATGATGCCACCACTCAAATATCATTAATGAAGTTTCATTGGTTCTGAAGAAACATTAGTATAGAGATCTATGCTACTATCCTCCCCCAATAGGTAGCTTTGGCAACTGTAGATAGGGAATGAAAAATAAATAAAAGGCAAAAAAAAGTGAGAAATCAGTTGCCATGTTATTGCTTCATTGGTCATTATGAGAATGACAAATTGCAAAATTAAAGACTCTTTAGAAATTGCACATTGCTTCATGCATGGCATTGGATGCTCTCTCTGCAGAAGCAAAGCAGGGGGAAAAATGCCTGAAGATCAACAAAAGCATTTGGGAGCTTGGCTTCTGCTTTGTTGAAAAACTTTCTTTGGTCTATGAATTTCCATTGTTGGACTTTCTTACCCTTCAAATGTTTGACAGTGTTGATGTTTTTTAAGCTCAGAACAAACTTTATGGAAAACCTGTATGGAAGCATGAAGTATTGAAAGTTTCAGTAACAAACCAATGATGAAGCCTTGATAGTGAGTTCATAAAAAAAAGTATTCCTCTTCCTCAGGGGCTTCGAATTCAGTCATGCTTCCGAGGGATTCATTCAGTTGGGGAAGTGAAGCCACACTCTCCTGCTCATTTCTCTGGGAAACTTGAACCTGGGAATGAGATCGTTCAAGTCAACTTCCAAACTGTGGTATGCTCATTCATTTTCTAAATTATTTCCATGTAAAGTTATCTGTGCATATAGGCCTTTGCAAGATTCCCATTACAATGACAAACCTCTAACTCACATCTATTGAAGAGACTCAAATTTGCAAAACAAACTAGTCTGCTGGGCTCATTGACATCTGCCAGCTATTGAAAGTTTTTGGCAAAACCAAGCAGCCAGTGCTTAGACCAGCAAATGTTTGACAGACTTTGGGAAGTGCATTTCATAATCTCACTGAGTTTCAGCTTGGGAAGCATGTATTACAGTGGAGCAGGAAAAAGGTGTGCATGAGTGCTTAGTTTGGCAGGAAGGCCTTTAGTTCTTTGTATTGTCCTTGCATTAAAAACCCATCATTCCATGTAATGCACCTGTACTAGGGTGTTGTTCATTAGACATAGACTGGGTTTCCTTTGTGAACATGAACCAGTCAGTGGGGTTTGGTGCTAGAGCTGGGAAAACAGGCAGTTAGCTGTGGCTTGCTCTGTCTCTCTGATGATTAGAAGATCTTTGAGGCATAGAGGTTATGTTAAGTTCTCTTCTGAGATAGGATTGCATATTTCTTTTGCAAAATCTGGGCATATTTGCATATGACAACCTTTAGAACTCTTCCCTGCTTGTCACATCTCTCATCTCCCTGTGAAGTAGACATTTTTGATCTGTACATGATAACATCAAAAGGAAGGTAAAGATGTGAGAGTTTTCAACTGCATATTCCTCTGTGATGCACTTGGAGTGATAAATACAATAGCTGTTTGAAGAAATTGAGCATTAATAGAAATCAGTAGTGGTGTACCAGATGGGGTTTTGGCCTGATACTGGATACAGGATATCCTGCAGGATTTGTTTGGCTACAGCTGGAGTCAGATAGTCATGTGTGCAAGCAAACTTGGACTTTTTTGTGTAGGCAATCTGATCAGCTCAATTTGTCTCCTTTCACTTTCTTGCTAGCAGGGATGAGCAGGTATTGTTGGAAGGTCGTAGATGCCTCTCTTATGCAGAAGTGTAGTGCTGAGAAATTCCAGTTATTTAAATAACTGATTCATTTTTACAATTAGTATTGGAGATGGATTCCCCTATCAGTATCTTATCAAATGGTTGATGTGGTTGACCTGTTATGATGTTTTTGTGCTGTTCTTTCATCCCATCATGTGTTGTGCCACTCTCATGAATTCATGTCTCTGAGCTCTGAATACTGATTTGAAGTCAATGTCCATGTTTATTTTAAAATAGTTTGGCAATGTTCATGATAATATTTAAATAGAAATAGTCCCTGAAAGAGAATATTCAGTATTGATTTACCAAATACTGATCCTTTTTTGATGAATAGAACTAGGCAACTAGTGGAATATATGCCCTTCTCTGGACTAAATGGACTGTACACAAAAATCTGTACCATTATTGTTGTAATGATTTTAAAACAGACTCTTTGGGAGTCTTTTTGGGAGTCATTGCTGAAATGGCTTTTCTTGATGGCTATAATTGTTCTCAGTTGCTACTTACAAGGAGAACTTGTCAACTTGAAGTTTTTATGACTGGGTGAATTCATTCAAGTTATTCAAACTCTAAAAAGAAATTGGTTCTGCCCTGGGAAAACATTGAGTGAAAAAAAAAACCTGAGGGCAAATTTTCAATCCTTGGGATTTTCATGTTTGATTTCAAGAGACTATCTGATGTAACATTTGACCTTAATCTACTGAAACAAATCTAAGTACCAAGGGAAAGTGATAGACAGGTTAGGGATGTGGGAATGTTTTCCCCCTGTCTTAACACAGAATATCCTCAGTTTTAAATCCTTCTACAGGCATTAATTCAGGAGGGGAAAGACACAGCAATAAATAGGGTGAGTGTTGCGAATGTCGGCACTCTAAGCAAATTCTGCACTTCCACCTTGCTTGCTGGTTTTCGTAATGGAGCTTCCTCGTTCATAATGGATCTGGTGATACCTTTATTATAAACCTTCTTATACCGCAAACCTCGAGTGCCCCAGACCTTTCACTTCCGAGGGCCTGGGTCAAAGGTGAAGTTGGAGTCTGGTGATAACTTTATTATAAACCTTCTTATACCGCAAACCTCGAGTGCCCCAGACCTTTCATTTCCGAGGGCCTGGGTCAAAGGTGAAGTTGGGTCAGATGTTGGCAATCTCGGCACACTTGCTAGTATAGATGGCACCACCCTGTCGGGAATCTCGGCACACTTATGTATCACTGTCGTTTACAACAGATCCAAAAATGAATGCAACGACCAGCTGGTGTGATATCTGGTGTGGAAGAGAAGAACGGAATGTGAAAACGCTTAGCAAAATCACAAGATTTCGCAGGATTTTCGGAGTGCGCTTAGAGAAAGTGACCACTGCGAGAGAACTACAAGAGCAAATGTGACTGTTCCAAGCACATGTTAACAACATTAGTCCTACCATCTGAGAATACTTATCTGCCCGTGCCTAGGGCACTAGTAGTGGAAGCAGAACTTTGACAATTTCAAAGTGCCGAGATTACCCCCAGTGCCGACATTCGCAGCACTTACCCTATCTCAGGCCAGGCCCTTACATTATGCCTTACTTGGGCAGGGTTTGTGATGTCACCAACCCATTCATCTCATCTATGTGTGTTTGTCCTATTTCAGTTCTTAAATTCATCCATATCTCGACCTAATTGGTGCGAAAGGGTTGATAAATGAATATTAAATATTTTGTCTGATAAGAGCATGAGCCAGAAAAGGGGACAATGCGAGAAAATTTAGAAAATAACTTTGATGAGAGAAAGCGCTAGTGAATCTTGGCCTCCTATAGGTCTTTAAAAATAGCGGTAAGCAGCAGAGACGTACATCATACGTCTGTATGATGCAAGCATACTCTGAAGTGAGGGGGAGTTCCTTTACATAACAAGCTTCACCTGCCTATTATTTTTTAGACCAGACAACTGACATCACAGAGATATGAATCCGCTGTCGGTGTCCAGTTCAGTCTTTTCACCTTAGCAGCCCAAAGAGCCCGACGATTCCGCTTTGATAGGAAGCAAAACACTCCATATCGAGTCTCACTCTTGTAGGAGCATCCAACAGCCATACAGCAGGGCATTATCACCAAAAAAGCCCAAAAGAATGACCCTTATAGCCGATGCCGGGCTCCTGGAATCAAAATGGCGCCCATGCTCGGCAGCCAATCAGATTCGTTAAAAATAGGGACTGGAGTTGGCCAGGCTCTGTCTCTCTAGGGGCTGTACCTAGGACCACTTCGCCCGGCTGAATGCCGAGTGTTCAGGCACCCGGGCAGCTTGTTGATTGTTGGTGACGTATATTTGTAGTGAGGAATATAAATTCAGGATTCTATTTAATTTTTACCGAATCCCCTTTTGATCTTATTTCCACCCGAACCCCCAAAACGGGCTACAACGATCGTAGCACCGTAACAATAAGTTCCAACACTAACCAGGGAAGACTCGCACTGATGGTGATTCATTTGCCACCGCTCTCATCCTGAGGAGCTCTTGTTTGTTCGAGTAAATGAGAGAAAGCAGGGCTGCAGCTCAATCGTTTCCTAACCCTTTTTTATGCATGAATGGTCTCATGCAACGATTGAGTCGAGCCAAAGTGATTATTTTTAAAGTCAGCGGCTATCCAATATCCGGAAACTTTTATTTTCCATTTCAAAATTTCAAAAATTTTCAGAACTCCATTTTCAGCGTTTGAATACTAGAGCCCTAACAGATTCACTCACGACGAAGTGCAACTATTTGTGCCAGTCAATACTTTTTTTCCTCTGTGAAGGCTTTCGACTAACCTCACTCCGATATGAAAAATTCCTAAGGAAGTCAGATCTGTTTCTTCCCAGTTTTCCATGAGGATATCCCTAAGGATAACCTGTTCCACGCATGGAATGACATTTAAAAAAAAACATACCTTTCCAATTGGTGCATGTAACATATCCAGTCTCTGAGTGAGAATTTCTGGTTGTATTTGTTCGCAGAGTACACACGATAAGTATATGGATGGTATCAATTCATATAAGGCGACGGAACGGACCCCTTTCTAATCGAGGACTTCACTTCACTGCACTTCACACTAACTTTGTAAAAAATTAGAAATAATGAAAGTGTGGAGTAATCTTGAACATTGAATCCTCCCATACAAGTAGGTGAAAACATTACCGATCTTCGTGGACTCTGTGCAACACCCGAAAAGATACTTCACTTGCGCAAGGAGACTGAGATGGCCCCCCCCTCTTCCTTTCCTATACCTCCCGCGTAAACCAGACTGACCGCGTCTAAAGTTAGTCCGCGGGTCAATGCAGTTACCATGCCGACGCGTCCACGATCGGGTCTTGTGAATTTCAGAGTTTCCCAATTCAACGCGTTGGCCAGAACGAGCAGCCCCGCCCCATTCGGAAGAAGGAGGAGAAGCTCCTATTTCCTCCGCTTCACCAGCGGCTCCCAATCTGCGATGCGCGTGCCACGCGTGCTGAACGCTGGAAGGTTCAATGCGAGTGAAAGGTGGTTTGGGGACGGATGACGTCATTTCCTCATTTTCAAAATGGACACTTGCTTTAAAATCCCAATCTTGATATGAACAGAAATGTAGAAGTTTCCAAGGATCCGTTTTTGGAGTGAACGACTAGCGCACCGGAAGAAACCGCTGAAAAATCTGCCAAAACCATCAGAGGAGGAGGTAGGAGGAGGGGGAAGGAGGAGGGAGGAGGAAAGAGCAGAAAGAGCAAGGAGCTCCAGTCGCGCCGCGATCGATGCTGGCGAATGACGCTCAAGACCTCGAGTTAGCCGAACGTACTTGTTGCCGTGCGATCAAGTGTTTAATGAATCGCACGGTGATCAATCACCGAGTATTTCGTCCATCATGCGTCTGGGTGGGCCTTGACTTTTGACTTATCATGTAAAATGAATATCTTGCGGTTGGTGAATACGGATTGACATCACGAACCTTATCACGCTCATTTCGCAATTTCGCCAATTCTTTAGCACTCAACTGCGGCGCAGTTTTTTTTAACTGTCCCTGTTTTGATCCTGGTACAGCGAATTCCGCAGTTGCCAAATACGTTCGCACCATAAATCGGCAAGAAAAAAGGTTTACATACACAGCAAAGTAGAAACGTACGAGGAGAGGTACAAATGCGAGAGGTACATATTGTGTTCCTCGGGTCCTCTTGCGTGGTCCAGACGTACACATGTGTACGTTGCAAACGCAGATGTCCGGGTTCTCAATGCAACACTCAAAATCGGCATGAGATGGCGTTTATATTCCCCAAACTTTCGAAGTCAAGTTGGGACGCACCGGACCTTAGGAGAAGAGCTTTCTTCCTTTTCCTGCATTCATCTTATCATGATACTTGTAAGCAGTATTTGGTACAAGAATAGTTATCATGTTTCAATGGCAATCAATGATTTTTGAACATTTTTAATGCTGGGTTTTGTACGGGAACAGAGAAGTGTGAACCAACAGGTTATGAGTTATTTTCTCTCTGAAGAATGAGCAGCCAACCTTGAAAGATTGTCACTGTAAAACAGGATGGTCCTTTTATCTATTCATCCTGTCCCCATGATAACTGGTTCATGAGGAGGAGGATAAATGTGACTTTATTCCAACCAATGTATCATAAGGGGCAGCGGTAGCAGAAACACAGTCACAACGTGATGGGCAAGTCTCTGAGCCATTGCAAGGCTTCTGGGGAGGCTTGGTGGATCTCTGATAGTCCTCCTGGGAAGGCGAGGTCTGGGCACTCTTCTGCGATG